GTCATATTTGGCGCGAGACACTACTGTGTCTCGTGACCCTTCATAACCGAGCCTGGACTCGGTACGAGAATCATCTCGTAATCATATTAGGCGCGAGACCCCACTGTGTCTCGTGATCCTGGCATAACCGAGCCTGGACTCGGTACGAGAATCATCTCGTAGTCAAATTAGGCGCGAGACCCCATTGTGTCTCGTGATCCTGGCGTGACCGAACCTGGACTCGGCACGAGATTCATCGCGTGGTCATATTTGGCGCGAGAATCTCTGCACAATCGCGGGGCCCTGTCGCAATTGATTATACACGAATTTCACCTGTTACAACATTCATACTCGATTCGAGATCATTGGGGTTTTTATGCCGTAAGGCTTTTCCCCACGAGCCAATAAAGGAAATTTTCCATTGGCTCAAAACCACGCATTCGATTCATTTCTTTCCCGACCCACGAGAACATACGAAACCACGAGATCTCTCCATGTTGGAGAGGTTTCGACGATACACCTTATGAAAATTCTAATGTTGGCTTCTAGAAGTGAAAAAACGTACACTTGCCGTGTTGAGATCGTTTTACGCCAAAACGCCGAAAAGGGCGTAAAACAGGATATGATATACAATCGTATATATGTGTATCGTATAAATGATATACAATACAATCGTGGTCGGCCATATTGTAGATAAACGCGTCACCGAGAAATGAAACAGTAAATCTTTTTCGAGAATTTGTTTATAACATACATAAAAAAAACTATGCAGTAGAATGCAGAATTCGTAGTTCTCCGAACACTAATAAATCAACCTTCAGTTACTGTTGTTTGCAATTGAAAAAGAAATGAACAAAAAAGAATGTAGGAGACATATCGTAATTGCTTTGTTGTCACACAGTAATACATATGATATTATAACTATACGAATTACATGTATAATTATCATTTCAACTTCAGCAGCTCTAGTCTTTCTCAGAACGCGCGAATTAGTGTAATTAAAAAAAAAACGTTTTCCAGTAGATATCTGTCATACTTTTCGAACCATCTAATGTGCCACAAAATAGGTACTATTTATGGACTCATAGAAAGAGCGATATCGCTTCGCACTCTTCCTTCCACCTGAACAACATTGTTTGCATAAACATCCTATTCGGAAATGGATATCTTGCACTTGTTTTTAACATAATTAGGTAATCCGAGAATAAAGATACTAAAAAACAGATTAATGTCTAAAACTAGTGGTAATTTGGATAAAAATACAAGCCCAGGTAGAAAGTTTTTGTTTCTACCTTATTTAAAGTTTCAAAACCAATAAATTGTTAATCGACAAATTAACATTCTTAATTGATTTGAATACCGATGCTTAAACACGTTATTGAGATTCATAGCTCCTCAGAAAGACAGAACAACAAAATTACAGAATACTAATGTAATCCATAAGATTCCCTGTAAAAATGATGATGTGTCATGGGACAAATAAAACGCAGACTACATACAAGATTAAAGGAGCATAAAAGGAACATCAAATTGGAGTCGTCTAGACTCTAAACATTTTAGCTAGGTAATAACACATCATTGAGTTTAATCACACTCTTGACTGGGATAATATCATCAGTTTAGAAAATAAACGATGCTGAGTTGTTGGACGGTTCCTTTTGATATTTTAAATAAACTAGCCACATTATCAATAAAACAATGTTGTATACAAGCTTATCGTCATTTTACCTTTTTCCTCTACGCGCGTGACTCAGTCTTATCAAATTCGTCGTAGACCCAAGAGGAGAAAAAAATTTTTATTCATTCTAACTTGATTATCCATATTGATGTGCGTCATTTTGTATGTGCACATTTATCAATTATTACTCTCAAGTCTTATAGATTGCAGTGCTTTATTTTTTTCATCAGTAACAGTGCATAGACTTCAACAACAAAGTAGCGTGCTAAATAAAGACGTGTAGAGATCTCATTGTGCCAATTGTACAGCAATAAAACTGTGCTAAAGATTTCAACAACAGAAGATGTAAATATAGACGTACCCATCACCTAAATGTAATTAGAAATTCTAATGTTAAATTGGTTGGCAATTGCTTATTCTTGACGCGTACAATTACTATTTGTACAATAGGGATATTCCGAGGAAACATTTACACAATAGTTTCCCATTGTGGTAGACTTAGGGTCGAATACTTTGTCATCCACAGCAATGCATTCGGTTCCCTTGGGAGAACACTCGAGTTTAAGACTGTAAAAGTACCAATCATGATAAGTGACACAAATCACAAAATAAACCATTGATGATATAAGCAATAAATAAATAATACTAAACGAAAAATTTTGTCATTTATACATACTTGGGAAGCGGATTTATGTCCTTTCTGTAAAAAGATAAACGTATATACTGTACTTATAATTATAATAATGTAGTTTCCATCTTATGAATGTGTTTAATTCGATTCGATGAGATTTTTGGTTCAGAACAATTCACTAAGTAGATTTATATTAGTTTAAATATGTCAAAAAGATAAACTTACCCTATAGGAACAGCTGCATACGTACAATTTTTTAACAATGTATTAGCCAAATAATCAATGGCTATATTGTGCGAGCAATTTGTGTTTGCAGCACCCGTGCCTGGTATCGACCACACGTCTGAAATAAAACATTTTCTTTATTCGTGACTTCTTTCTGATGGCTGTTGCTCTGGCGACGATTTCCTTAAATGCTTTAATTAAATATGTATAATAATTACTGCACGCTGGTTGATCGAATCCATTATTGAACCAAAAATCGCAGTCAGCTATAGTCTGTTGTATCCCGAGAATCGACGTGTGGAAAGCGAGTACACGTTTGGCATCTCCATCGCAAAATCTGTATTTGCAAGGTAGGCCCTCGAATAAGGGGGCTGCTGGGTCGGTACCGATTAGAAGCGGAGGTTTGCCGTAATCCGTAGTTTTAGTTATATTCTTCGCGGCGAAGGCGCTTATATGCGCGCCAAGACTGTGGCCCATGAGTGTAATGTTTTCCAACTTAACACCGCATTTGATTACTGATTTGATGGAACTAGAAGAGAAATGTGTGTACGAATATATATAAATAAATCAAAGAAACTACGTCTTACAGTTTATTCTAACGCTATTCGGTTGATTGTTTTTTTAATATAATATAACGTATAAAGTTAAACTTTAATTAGCATCATATTTATTGTGCATTTTATATTGATTATAATTATTATTAGTACAGTGTTATCTGAAGAATAATTTATATCACAGTTACAATTATTTGCACTAAAATTTTTATTTAACAGACATTAAAAATTTGTTTATTTACTTAATCGTGACATCACAGTATAAAAGTATAATAGCAATACCTAGCCAAGTAGTTACCAACTTCGCGTGTGTTTTTTGTTGCAAACGGATACTCCAACAAATTTAGTTTACCTAGATTTAAGAAAAATATATTTATATCGGATAGACAGAAATCATCATAACACGATCCATCAGCCCAATCCAGCGAAACTACTGTATAACCATTCTACAAAAGAAAAGAATTTTTGCTGTTAAATTCTCTCATTGTACATAAAAATTTTTATATTACTTGTAGATGTTGTGATTAGATTTTGGAATTACAGAGAGAAGTGCTGTTTTCTAATTTTATTCTTGTGTATAGGAAATATTTACCTCTACTAATCGTGAAGCAAGTACGGAAAAGTTATACGCTTTTGCATTTGAAATAAATCCATGGGTCAAAAAGATGACTGGTTTTGATAAATCAATATAACTGCAAATTTCGTTTGCTTTGACAACTTGACCGTTTGTAATATTGCTGTAAAAAATGCAACGTTAATAGGATAAGAAATAAATTGGCAGTGGATATGTGCGAATATTACCTCGTGAATAAATATAGCAACACGTTTTCAACACCGAAGATACAGGAATCTGATACTTTGTTTTCACAATTAATTAAATCTGTAACAAGTATCGCAATTATATGGTCCGAAACGAATGATTAAAAAGAAG